AGGAGAGGCTCAAATTCCAGATGCAGAGTGACAAAAGCTTTGTCGAGGCACGGAAAAGTCGGAACGATGGCCAATAGTAGATAGTCGATAGTACTGGGCCGGGTTGTTCAAAGCCCGATTTGCATTAATCCAGGGTTAAACATAGGTTTTCTAAGAGTTAACCCTTATCGGGCTCTGAACAAACCAGTGTTGTAACCCCAGTTGTAAACCCAGTGTTCTAAACAAATTTTCTAAAACGCAGTTCGGCGGCCGTGCGCGCGGGCATAAAGGAAATCAATTACTCATAAGTGCCAATCAAATTTTGAATTGCTACAATTCTTTTTGTTTTGCTGAAATTATTCCTTTTTAGCATGTACAAAAACAAATTTTAGCGAAGGCAAAGTTCTATGAAAATCTCTTAATAAAACAGATAAACGACAAATAAAGTTTTACGATAAGAGTTAAAAGTAGCATCACTTAGAGCGCCTAATTAACAACAGGAAGCCCAATAGAAGATCAAGTATGGCCTGATTAAAAGTGGTTAGAACGTCTCAAAACACAAAGATTCTCGAGATAAACATAAGGTAAATGTTTAGTTTAGTTTATGCTTGCTCTTGGGTATGAAACACAACATAAAGCGATCTATTTTGTTGACATGTTTATCAACTTGTTGGTTTCACACCTGTTGAAAATATGAATATTTCGGTAACTTTGGTCGGTTCTAGCGAAGCATAAACACATTTACCCAACGATATTTTTACATAGATCGAAAGAACTCTTCCTTGACATTTCATCCTGCAAAGATCATTTGATTTGATCATATCGGTCTTTGTCAAATMGACGGCTATTTTGATAGTAGTTTTAACGATCAAAAACAGGYGTCATTTATAAAAATTCACCAGAAATTTTAGATATAAGCCACAAGTTTAAAACTCGCCCAAATGAAAGAAAATGGGTGATATTTTTATCTTATAAATGTTTTAAGCATTAAACATTGCTACATTAACCAAACGAGGCCATCAGTTTATCGCCATTTCATA